GTTGGGTGATATGGACTCATTGTCAGGAGTACGACTCTTCATGTCTGATGCCTGGCCACAAGACAGAGCAGAGAGAAATGCACGATGCCTAGAGGGGCTTGAGTCCCTAGTGGCATTGTTCAAGGCAGAAGCATTAGAAAAAAAACTATCGGGTGAGCATTTCATCTGCCAAGCCCCTTTTCTTGTCTAGCTAGGCCATGCGTGATACTATTCCCAACTTTAACCCCTATCTCCTACTATTTTGTTAGTACCCTCCTACTATTTTGTTGGTCCCTCCCTTTACACGTGTGACACACAAGCATCATCAAGAGACGGGCAGTCAAGGAGTTGCGAATTTTTTACTCCGTCCTTACAGTAGCCCACAAGAGTGAGCGGTCCTTTCACGACGACCTCACTGCATGAATCGGCATGGTCGCTCGATGAGGGTCGGTTGGGTCGGGAGAGCTGCGAGTCTCGTCAGTATAGGGGCGACTGCTACTGACTTCCAGCGTTTCCCTGCTTCCCGTACTTCTTCCGCTGCTCGAACCACTTACTCTTTTTCTCCATTAGATACTCGCTTTGAGAATGTCCATGCCAGTTGCACGCAAGACAGCGTCATCAAAACGGCGTGACGACGGCATTCGCGACTACGGTGCGCACCGTGGCATACTAGTTTGCCCCTCAAGTATGATGATTAAAGTTGTTGTAAGACCCCGGCCTCTGTCGCATCAGCTTCCGCTTCTCCGCCATCGCTAGGATGTCGTTGAAGTTGGTTAGACGGAGGAGCAGAATTGACTTGCGGCTTCAGGCATCTGCTGTAGCGGTCGATTTGTAACGTGTCGTGCATGTAGCCCACTTGCTCACGCAACACCTGGAATCGGCTCGTGTAGTCATGGACCGATCCGAGCTGCCACACACGACTTTTGAAGCGCTGAAATCGAAGCCGCAATTGGCTGAAATCTCCCGCGTAGACATGCGCACCATGCATCCCACTCGCGGCAGTGGTTCACTCCGCAACATGATGGCGCCCAAGGGATCGTAGATCAGAAAGGTTTCTCCCCTTGCGGTAGTGGCTCGTACTCGCTTGGCGCAGACGATGACATGCCACCAATCCATGGTTGGTCCTTTTAGTAACGGCACGGCGTATCAAATCTTCGCTGTGTCCGACGTGACGTGGTTCTCGTAAAAAAGCACGTTCATTGTGAAAATCCACGACTGGATTGTCGGACCCCCCCCCTTCTTGACTCGAGTCGAAGCATGGAGGACGTTGCGGCTTGAGCCGTTTCCCACGTGGCAACTCAGCTGCAGCGTATTGATGAGAGGGGATGGAAGCGAATGTGCGGTCCGGAAGGACGAAGGCTATGGATACATAGTGTTACGAGTGCAATGTAGCAAGCCAACGAGGATATCCACTGCCTCTGACCTCTTGCTCTTGTGATTCTGCTACGGCTTGTTTGAAAGCCCTAGAGTGCTGCGTTGAATGGGGTTGGTTGGATGCTACTTCAATGAGACCGGAACCCGTGGTATGAAGGTGCCACATTACTTGTGTTCCAGCGCATTGTCGCAATGCAATTGCATTAATTGCGCGGTGTAGTAACGTCTTGGTTAGATGTGCAATGCATAGGAGGCTGGAAGGCAGTAACTACTGATACAGAAACGTGTACACTCTCACATAGACCAATACAAAAGAACAACCAATACACACTCACATCACTAGGGTAAGAACGGCAAGTAAAGCTTGTATCCTTTGGGGTTAGAACGCCTGGATGTAATAGAGCCCATTGAAACTATGGTAAGCCTCTAGTTTCTTTCAAAAGCTGAAGATGCACACCCGTTTCCTCCTTCTGCTTGTGTTGTGGACCCGCTCATCATCAATCTCAGCCCTCTGGTTGCTTAAGGGAATAAAAGTTATTTGAAATAAAGAAACAAAAAGCATGAGACTGTGGCACTAACTACCTAGCGTTTGCATCTCACCGCAAGGCATTTCCAGAGATCATCATGGAACCTCACGATGCCCACCCGCCTGCATCAAGTCTGGTCGGGCTTTTTATTCACTGGCCTGCACACCACCATGTCACGGTAGCTGCCTTATTGCAAGCACTCTCGTGTGCCACACCACCTCGTTACAGCGCATCCCGCTACTAGCAGCAACTATCGCGCCTCGTGCAACCCATCTCGCCACAACTTTTAAAAGTTTTTGCTGCTCTTGTAGATCTCCCCGCCGCGCCACTTGCTCGGAATCACGCCGTCCATCACCACCTGCTTCCCGCCACCCGTCACGCGCACGCTCACCGCGCGCCCCGAATCCACGACGCCAGTGGCGGGATTCAGCACCCACGTGGCGCCCCATCCGTTGTTCGTCATGCTCTTCCAGTCCTTTCCGTCCTTCGATATCTCCACCTTCTCCAATCCTCCGCGCCTCGCCGCTCCGAAGATCTGAAGGGCGAAATTGTACTGGTTCGCATCGGGCAGAAGTCGAACCGCCATTCCGCCGCTGCTCGGGCAATCAACGGCATCGTATGTGACCTCCACTTGCCCGCCCTGGCCGCCGACGAGTTTGTTCCACGCGGGAGTGTCGAGGTTGAAGTTCTCGCCGGCCTGCCCGATCGCGCGCACCGTCACGGAGCCGCCCTTGCATGCGCGGCCCGTGCAGGAAACTTCGTAGCACGTTCCGCAGCCCTTGCTGTTGGCGAACTTGCCCGCAGGCACCTGCGCGACCAGGCCGAAATAAGGGCTGTCGCGGAAGCGACCTTGGAAGTCGCGGTAGCACGTGCCTTCGCCGCTCAGGTCGGCGGAGTTAGCCTGGACTGCGTCGGCAGGTGTGAGGGCGAAAGCACCGAGCAGGACGATTCCCACGCACAGCAGGCTGGCGACCTTGGAAACGCGAGCCATCGGGAAAAAGGAGCAGCTAAAAAATGTGAAATCAAATTTGAAAAGGTGAACTTGAATATCAGAGAGTGAATGCTTGGATGGCAGTGATCGAGTTCGATGATGATGGGGTGAAGAAGCAGGAGATTTATATAGTTGCGGGAGTGGGAGTGATTCAGGAGTTGGGACCCTGCGCTGGGGGTTCAGCGTAAAGTGCGGCTTCGAGTCGCCATTGCGATTTCCGCCCCAATTTGGGGTGGTGCTTTGGAATACCAATAATGTTGTCCCCTTGGCCAACTCACTGCGTGGCGACGGAAGCGAAAACCATTTGTAACGGAAGTCGTGGGTCAAAGAGTGGTTGGCGAGGGATAGTTGTCGAAATGCGACATTGTTTCGCCGGTTTATGGTATTTGCTGGGAAAAAAATTCCAGGGGAACCATTCTGGTGAGGCGCGACGTTCAACGATTATTGGAGCTTTGCAGCATTCGTCATTGGCTGTAAGGCGTATAAAAGAGAGCAATGTCGCTCTTCAGCCCATACGAACTTCAAATTCTGGTAACTCTGAACATTTGACGAGCCACATCCACAGCCTGCTTTCGCAGCTGGTAACATGAGAATCACTGAACAGCGGGTTATCAGACCAGCTCGGAAAAAGCGGGCAAATTGAAAAAATTGCTGGAACATGAACCGTGAGGTGCGATGTAGATACGATCCTAGACACCCATGTATGACCCTGGACACCTAGTTTTGACCCTAAACACGTAGATACGACCTCAGAGTTTAGACTCTAAACTCTGGAGTTTAGACTCTAGACGTCGGACGCCTTTTAGACGACGGCACCTAGGTACAGGCGACTTGGGAGAGGACACGAGGCAGAGAAAGTGGCTGCAGGTGATGCTTCAGTCTGTCAAGGGTGACTAAAAAAGTGACTCAGGTAGGCGGCAACAGGTTATTTGTGAGAAGCGATGGTGTATTAGGTTATCGCGGATCAAGTTACGAAGGCAGGGCCCTGACCAGTCATGGGAAGATTGGTGCGAGTGCATGGCACGGGAGGATGGGGACGAGTGGACACGCATGGCGTCGTGCGCGGATAGGAGCATCCTATCCGCCCTCGATGCTCCGTGCGGATAGGAGAATGAAATGAGCGGCGCGAATACAGGGAAGGCACGGAGCGTCGAGGGCGGGAAGGTAGCCGCGGAGCGGATTGAAAGGTGGAGGGTGGAACGAACGGTGAAAAGGCATGCGACGGAAGGGTGTGAAGGACGAGAAATTGGGGGTGGGAACGAAATGAAGGGGTTGCGTCTGGGAAAGATGGGAATGAATGGAGAACGGGATAGGAATGAGGTACGCAAGAAATGGGGGGTGTGAATGCGCGGCGCGCATTTAAGGTGGGAAGGGGTGAATGAACGGTGGAAGGGACTGTGATGGATGAGTGTGGACGGCGATAGGGCAGAGGGGGGAGGGAACGGGAGGCAGAAGGATGGGAGTGAATTCAAGCAGGGGGTGTGGGTGGGGTTGTGTGGGGGAGGTGGGGATGTGCGGCCAAAGGATGGAGATGAAGGGGGGGTAAGGCGGGGGGGAAAGGAATGGTTACCCTCTGTTACCCCCCTGTTTACACTCTATTGCTTCCTTATTTGCCTGCTGTTTCCCCTCTCCTTGTCATCCGTTCCCCCCTGGCTTACCCTCTTTTCCTCCCCTGCTTTCCCTCTGTCCCCCCTTTGTTTAGCCACTTTTCCCCTCTGATTTCTCTCTATATTCTCCCTGCTTATCTCGCGTTTCCCCATTCCCTCTTCCTGCGTGCTTGAATTTTCATTCCTGCGCACCATTCGTCAGCAGCAGCGGAGGGTAGGAAGCTGCAGCGAGCGACGCTCCCCTGGCTTCTCCCAGTGAGCTCTGAAGCCAGCATAAGCTCTTCTTGAGTCGACTCAAAAATCGCTCCCCTGGCTTCTCCCAGCGAGCTCTGAGCAGAGAAAGCGGTCGGGAGAAGCAGATGGGCTGCTGCGAGGGAAAGCAGTGAAAGTAGGCGCGAGTGGAGGCAAGTGTGCCGAGCAGGTTAGAAGCTGAGTGGTGAGAGAATCTACGTGGGTTGCACAGGAAGCTTGTTGTGGGCGGCACGAGAGGCGTGTGGGCGGTACAAGAGGCGTGTGGGCGGCATGAGGCGGCGGCCGGGGGTGGCGGGGCTGCAGACAGCAGCAGCAGTGAGGGGGCAGTACCGGACGCTGGGGGAGGATGTGGCGAAGCAGCGCCAGGAGTCGCTGCGGCAGCAACTCGACACCTTCCAAGGCTTCCTCACAGACTTTGCTCAAAAGCACAAGGTGCGTGCTGCTGGGGCGCGTCTTGAGACGTCTCAGGTGACTTTTGAGTCGACTCAAACGGCTTTCTCACAGACTTTGCTCAAAAGCACAAGGTGCGTGCTGCTGGGGCGCGTCTTGAGACGTCTCAGCAGCAGTGAGGGGGCAGTACTGGTCGCTGGGGGAGGATGTGGCGAAGCAGCGCCAGGAGTCGCTGCGCCAACAGCTTGAGACCTTTCGCGGTTTCCTCATGGAATTCGCTCAAAAGCACAAGGTGGGTGGTGTGGTGCCTGGTGGTGCCTGCCCTGTGTGGCGGGGCTGCAGACGGCGACAGCAGTGAGGGGGGCAGACAGGCCCCCCTCAGCAGCTGGAGACGTTCAGAGGCTTCCTCATGAAGTTCGCTCAAAAGCACAAGGTGCGTGTGGTGGTGCCATCACTCATTGCTTCGGAAGCACAAGGTAGGTGGCCCCTGCCCTGGGAGCTGCATGATTCCCAGGGCAGGTCTCGCACAACGTGCATTGTGCTCATCATTGTGCATGATGAGCTGCAAGTTAGGTTAAGAAGCACAATGCGCGTTGCCGAGAATGCAGTTTGTTGCCACACCATGCTGCTTGACTAATGGGCGCAATGCCACGTCATGTGCTGCTCTTCCCTCTTGCCCCATCCCGCGCCATGCTCCGCTCTGCTCCCACCCATTCCCCCCATCCTCCCTTCCTGTCAGAGTGATATCCGCATCAACCCGGCGTTCAGGGAGCAGTTCCATGCCATGTGTGCGCAGTGCCCTCACACCTTGCTCCACTCTTCTCCTGCCCACCCCACCTCTTCCGCCCCCTCTTCCACGTGCCAGAGCGACATCCGCAGCAATCCAGCGTTCAGGGCGCAGTTCCACGCCATGTGTGCGCAGTGTGGGGTGGACCCCCTCGCCATGTTCCTCTCTCCCCTCTCCCCATGCTCCGCTCTGCCCCTCATCCTCCCCTCCTGCCAGAGCGATATCCGCAGCAACCCGGCGTTCAGGGCGCAGTTCCACGCCATGTGTGCGCAGTGTGGGGTGGACCCCCTCGCCATGTTCCTCTCTCCCCTCTCCCCATGCTCCGCTCTGCCCCTCATCCTCCCCTCCTGCCAGAGCGATATCCGCAGCAACCCGGCGTTCAGGGCGCAGTTCCACGCCATGTGTGCGCAGTGTGGGGTGGACCCCCTCGCCTCCAACAAGGGCTTTTGGAACGAGCTGCTGGGCTTCGGTGACTTCTACTACGAGCTAGGTGAGGCGATCACTTTTGAGAATCCTCGAAAGTTATTTGAACTCGTGAGGCAACTCTTGAGTCGACTCTAACACCCCCCTGGCCTCCAACAAGGGCTTCTGGAACGAGCTGCTGGGCTTCGGTGACTTCTACTACGAGCTCGGTGAGGCACTTCTTGAGTCTACTAAAAAAGCCGCTTGCCTCAAAACCCCCCTCGCCTCAAAAACCCGGCGTGTGCCCCTCCCCATTCCCCTTACCCTCCCCCTTCCCATTCCCTTTACCTTCCCCCACCAGGCGTACAGCTGGTAGAGACGTGCATGGCAACGAGGGTGGACAAACAGGGGGCTGCTGCCATGCCATGCCATGCCATGCCATGCCATGCCATGCCATGCCATGCCATGCCATGGTCCATGCCATGCCATAGTCCATGCCATTCCATGACGCCCGCCCTCCCCTCTCTCTCTCCCCCTCCCCCTCCCCCATCCCCTTTTCCTCCCCTCCCCAGGAGTGCAGCTGATAGAGACGTGCATGGCAACGAGGGCGGACAACGGGGGGATGATCAATCTGGAGGAGCTGCGGCGCCTCGTGGCGGGCAGGCGCCGCATGCCTCTGGGCGCGCTCTCACATGACGACTGCATGCGCGCCCTCGCCACCATCAAGGTGAGTCCAATGGAGCCCCAGGTCGGATTCAAGTTGTGTCACGCCCTCGCCCGCGCCACCATCAAGGTGTGACGGGACTCGGCGCGCCTCGAGTGTGTCGGAAAGTCGGCATTGTTGCAACGGCCAGCTTGTGCAACGGCCAGCTTGTGCAACTCATGTGTTTACGCTTTGCCGCAACCATCACCCTCACTCCCGTAATTCAAACCATTCCACCTCTGCCCTTGTCATCCTTCCTCGTCCTCACAACGGCTGTCATCGGCAGTCCCTAGGAGGAGGGTTTGCGGTGGAGAAGGTGGGGGCGACACACGTGGTGCGCTCGCTTCCTCGAGAGCTCAGCACTGACCAGAACGACATCCTCCGCCTCGCGCAGGTGACGTGGCTCATGTGACGTGGCACAGGTGATGTGGTGCAGGTGACGTGGCGCAGGTGATGTGGTTCATGTGACGTGGCACATGTGTTGTGGAGCAGGTGATGTGGTGCGTTTGATTTGACGTGGTGCGGGTAAATAGGCTTAAAAAATGCTAGACTTGGTTGTTTAGGCTCGGATGAATCAGTTCAGGTAAATAGTCTCAGGTGAATGGGCTCAGGTGATGAGCTTCAGGTGTATCGCTGTGGTGAATTGACTCAGGGGAATCTCCTCGGATGAGCCTGCTGTTGCATTGTTGCGTGGTTGGAGTGTTGGGTTGTTGACTTGCAGGGTTGCAGAGTCGTCTACTTGTTGAGTTCTGTACTTGGGTCATTGCAGTCAGTACATCGTGGGTCGGACAATTCCTCCCTTGCGTTTGTACGACTACCTCCTCCCCTGCCCTCCTTCTGACAGGCGCGTGGGTGTGTGAGCATCGCTGACATTCTCTCGGCCACGTCATGGCAGCCCGGCCGAATCAACGATGCTCTTGACGCCCTGCTCAAGGTGACCGCGTTTTGTGAATGGCTCTAGCACTAGCACTATATGGCTCTGTATGTAGCACTAGCTGCTTCATACAGAGCGACTGAGGGAGAATGCAGGGCGACTGAGGGAGAATGCAGGGCGACTGAGGGAGAATGCAGGGCGACTGAGGGAGAATGCGAGACACTGGTAGCTAGTTGTCTCTTGTGTGTTGTGACCAACTTTTGATTAACTTAATCCGCACCTAGTAGCTGATCAACCAAGTCCTCTGTAGCACCATGGCTGTGCACTGTAGCACCATGGATGTGCACTGTAGCACCATCTGCACTTGCACATGTGCTACGAGCTCCCGTTTTCTCAGTCGCCCCCTTTTCCCTCTGCCTCTATTCGTCTTCCCGTTTTCCCTCTCCGCATTCTCTCCCCATTCGCTCCCCATTCACTCCCCATGCTCTTCCCATGCTCTTCTCCCATCCAGGAGGGCATAGCCATGGTGGACGATGGCGATCCTGATGGCCACCGGCGCTACTGGTTTCCATGCTTTGACATGCTTCGTCTTTTCCTCTTCCCCGTTTCTTTCTTCCCATGCTTCCCCCCCATGCAGGAGGGCATAGCCATGGTGGACGATGGCGATCCTGATGGCCACCGGCGCTACTGGTTTCCGTGCTTTGACATTGCCGCTCCAGCATCGCTATAGAATCAACAGGGCTTGCGGTTAGCCTTCCCTGCTTGCGTACCAATACGGAGCGGAGGGCCCTGTACAGTGTACACCTAATACTGCACTTCAATACTGCGCAATCTAAATGTGAATGCTCAGATGCCTGCAAGGTCTCCATGACAAGATGCTTCCGACGTTACATTTCTGAGTCGATATTACCTTTTGATTCGATATTTTCCATACCTAGTTACAGTTTTTTTTTTAATTACTAGTATGTAAACCAAGGCTGCTGTTTCATGATAGGTTATGCCTAACAACGTGACATCATTAGAAGCATACATGTGCTTGTAACTAAGGTACATCTGTAAGAATGAAAGGAAACAGTCACTATATTCTATCATCGTTGAGGGAGTAACAGATTGCTTGATTCGATACAAGTACAGTGGGCAAGTGCAATGGGGCCCTGTTCTGTTGCCGCACTACTTGTGCGGACCCCTCCGCACACCACCAGTTGATGCTTCGAAAAGGATTCTACCATCCAGCCTCGAAGCTTCAATTACAAGGGCGCATTCCCAAAAATGAGGCTCGGGACCCTGAACTCCATCCCGAGCCTAATTAGTGCTGTGCTGTGCTGTGCAGCTATTTAGTGCAAAAGAACGGTGAACCAGTGATGTGGTGCTATCCCCCACTCCCTGGCAAACTGGGTGCGGGGCTTGTGCTGTCCCTGTCCCCACTCAGAGAGGGGATCCAGGGATAGCACAAGTAATTTCGGGCAGGGATAAACCTTTTTCTTTGTCCTGGTTGGCCCTTTTGCTTTCAGGCCATCGAATCATCCAATGGTTGCTTGCGAGAGGAGATTTGACGGTCTGCGAAGGAGAAAGAAACTTTTGCCCTGAAGATGCACGGAGGGGGGCAGGAAGATAGCGTGAGCCTTCGAATACTTGGGTGCGTACCAAACCTCCGGCAGCACATCTGGTGCTGTGCTGTGCTGTCCGCCCACCAGTAGCCGATGGGCAACAGAACAGGGCCTGGATCTCCTCCTCTTCACCAGCTGTCACCCCTGATGCTTCGCACCAAAGCGTTGAACTTGCAGCGCGGCAGAGTGTCATCGTCGCAGGAGCTGCTATCGTGCAATCGGGATTGGTGAGCGCGCATCATCACCGACATTCTGGTTTCACTTTCTCGCTGGCGACGAAAACCACAAGGCGGTGATGAGGAGGGAAGCTCATGCGGCCAATTACAGGCGAGATTCGCGTCGTTATCGCCGTCAACTCTCATTCTCCCGTCGCATCGACCCCCCTTGTCAAAGAAGTTGTGCCGACGGGCGACGAAACGGAAGCGTCGAAGAAACTTTCTACGTCGTGCGAGGAAAACGCCAGCCTGTGCGACTCTGGCCAGAGATGATGGAAAGGGGGGTCCCATCCCATGATCCCATCCCATCGCTGGTTCATTGCTCAGGGAGGGGGGTGTTGCTGACGACGACAAGTCATCACGAGCGACTCGAGAAAACGGGTGATTGCAATTAGTTTTGCTTCGGTAAATGTAGGTTCAGCTGGGTCAAACTGGGAAATGAGTTGGAAGAAAAGGGATCAAGCAAGGAAATGAAGGAGCATATGCGTGGGATGGAAGACGCGGCTTGACTGCCGCCGAGAAAAGTCCGTGGCGAGCCAGGCGACGCGGTCGATGCGGAGCCTTGGGACCTCACATGCATAAATATGATGCTCGCTGGTTTGCGAGCTTAATCAACATCGACACCAGCGCTAGCTCGCTTGGTCTTAGCTTTGAATCGTTCATTGACTCACAGCGAGTTGACGACTCGAAGAAGAACGCACGGCCCTACCTTTCCTCTCAAATAAGCCCCAATTTTCTGAGAAGGCTCAATCAGGAATTTTTTCGTACTCCTACCCCCACCACAGCACTCGTTCTCTCATCGCTTAGGCTCCTAAAGCACCCTAATAGACTTAGTTTATCCTTTGTTGACCATTCTGTTCTCAGTCTTAATACCAATCTTTGTGGCTACCTGAACGAGCATGGGTCTCTTTAGCGGCTTCGTATCGAGGTCCTCAGGCTACCATCCAGCATCGATTCTCGAGCACGAGTTCGATTTTTCGGGCGCCATAGGCCAGGGGCAATTCGGCACGGTGTGGCGCTGCTCGTCGCGCGCGACGAACCAATCCTTCGCGTGCAAACAAATCCAAAAGTCGCAGTTCTTGTCGCACGGCGACGACATGCGACAGGTGTCGCGCGAAATCGAGGCGATGCAGAGGTTACAGGGCCACGCGAACGTCGTCGATCTGCACAGCGTCTACGAAAACGACGGCTTCATCTTCCTCCTCATGGAACTCTGTCCCGACGGCGACCTCTTTAAACTCATCTCCGAGCGAAACGGGCTGCCGGAGACCGAGGCGCGCTACGCATTTAAGAAGATCGCTCTCGCCGTGCAGCACTGCCACCGCAACGGAATCGTCCATCGCGACATAAAGCCCGAAAACGTCCTCCTCCGCGATCCGTCCCCCCCATCTGATGAGCCATCCACCGCCCACCCATCCCTGGACGGGCCAATTTGTCCTCTTCTGCACGCTCACGACGCCGGTTCTTCAGCAGCGCTCGTCTGTGGCTGCGCGCCGAGCCGCGAGTGGGAAGTGAAGCTCGCCGATTTCGGCCTCTCGAGGCGTCTCGACGAGGGGTCCCGCGTGCGAGGCCGCGTCGGAAGTTACCCGTACGAGGCTCCCGAGGTGGTCGCATCTGAACCGTACGATTGGTCCGCTGACGTGTGGAGTCTCGGGGTGTTGCTGTACACTATGCTTGCTGCCAGCTGGCCGGAATTTAAGGACGGACGGCGCGCGCTGAATGAGGACGTAGATTGGTCGAGCCCGAGTTGGCGATTGGTCAGCGACGCGGCGAAGAACCTTATTCGTCGCATGATGACCGTGAAGCCCTGCGAACGACCCACGATCGACGACGTCCTGTGCGACGCGTGGCTGAGCGACGAGTCGTGCGTGAACGTGCTCTGCCCCGCGGCGTGCGACGGTTTGCTTGAGGGAATCGCACAGAACACATGCGACGACGGGAAGGACGTCGCACAGCAGTGCTTGAAGGATTTTATGGCGGTTCGCTCAAGCCCGTCGTTGTCCACGTGGCTTTCAGCCAGTCTGACGTCAGGGCCATCACTGTCATTGTCTCTATCCTCCTCCTCCGCTTCTTCAAGCAAGCAGGTTCCGTTCTGTGAGAGCCTCAGCAGCGATAGCAGCAGCAGCAGCAGCAGCCGCGGCAGTGACGGAAGTAGCAGCGAAAGCAACGGAAACACTGGCAGTGGGAAGGGGGCGCACAATGTGCGTCAGGGTTGGGGTGAGGCAGCTGCTTGGGGATTAGGTGTGCAAAGCAGCAGCAGCGACGGCGAGGAGCAAGTAGAGTTGAACCCGCAAGCGCAGGAGGAGGCGGTGAGGAGAAGAGAATGCTGCGAGCAGGGAGAAAGTGCATGCCGCGAGTGCAGCGGCAGTGGTAGTGGTGGAAGGGACAGTGGCAGCAGCTCTGATTGGTGGCAGAGGTCCAGGCTGGCTGCTGTGGCGGCATGGGCTGTGAAGAATGTTTGGGGAACCGCACCAGCCATTGCGTGCTAGGTAGCGGGTGTTGCCTGTGTTCTGCATCAACTTCGCAGTTTTGGCTCACCGGCGTACCCAATAACGGCTGCATCCTTCAGGGACAGATAACGCTGATCTGCTAGCTGCTTATCAGTGGAAATGCTACAACTTTAGGCCCATGGATTTGGGGCTCTTGTATAGCTTCAATGCATGTAGCTCGGCACCTAGGACAGACAGAGCAGCCAGTCTCAGAACTGTTCACTCTTGCAGTGGCAGTTCTGTGACTTACTGCTGCACACCAATGCAGACGTGGATTTTGTGCACAGCCATGTGTATTATAGTTGAAAAGTGTAGGGTTGGACTGATGATTTATTGATGTAATATATTATTTATTAGCTTGGTTTGCATTGTATTCCAAGATAACCATATCTGCAGTATTCAACCTCTCGCTCTTCTCTCAGCTCGCCTCAATTTGCCCCTTTCAGAGAAGGCCTCCCTGGTTCATGTTCAGTGGCTCCAGATGCCATGAGGATACGCTGGAGTCATGGCTCTCAGCTCTGAGATTAAGGCTTACAATTGGGTTGCACTCTACCTTGAATGAAACACCTGAGTTGCACTGGGTACCATCACATTACCAGCAATCAATTATAAGACCCTCGAAGCTGTTAGAATCACTAGGTAGGTGAGTGGAGTCGATGAGGTAAGGGGGGGGGGTACAAGGACTATCGAGAGAGATTGTTGTACCCTCTAAGGAAAGAACCCTACACAACCTAGAGTGAAACAAGCAGAACAATATGTTTTGACACACCCCCATAGGTGAAGTAGGGGATAGCCAAGCCTAACAGTGGTCACAAGACCAGTCAAGCAAGAGAACAAGCAAGGCAAAGCCCAGGGTGGATCTCAAGGACACCACACAATTTGAGCACAAGCAGGCAGCCACAAGGCCAGTTCACATGCAGATTTATAAGAGCAAGGCAGTACACAGATCACAACCTAGCAAGAGGAAACATGCAGGTATAAAGATATATAGCAGTGTACAACAAGAGCAAGTCAAGCAACCAGCAGGTGAGGCAGAGTGGGCACAAGCCCAAGAGCAGTGCAGAAACGCTGATGATCACCAGCCGCAAGGGCCTTGGTGAAGACATCAGCAGTGTTGGCCCAAGAGGCCACGAAAGCAAGGCGCAGCTGACCACGCTGCTGCAGCTCACGCGCAAGGAAGTAGCGCAGAGCAATGTGCTTCGTTCTGTGCTCCAGTCTCTGCTCGCGACACAAGGCAAGCATTGCCTTGTTGTCGACGTACAGAACTGGAGGAGAACGAGGCCGCTCCCCCAAGTCGGTCAGCAGGTAGGTCAGCCAACGGAGCTCCTGTGCAGCCATGGCCCTAGCGTAGATCTCGGCCTCACAGCTGGAACCAAGCACAGAAGAAGAACGAGTGGACCTCCACGAGACAGAACCAGC